AAAAAAAAGTTAAAATACCTGAGAAAACAGTAACACAGGCTTATTTCTGGTAGCTGAACTTCGTAGTTAGAATCCAGTCATATCTATTCCAAAGCCAGAAAATTACTTACTCAAGTGCTCTACAACTTTGGAAAAACTTATAACACACTCTTTTGTGATAGAAGGCTAAAAACCATGCAGTATTTTTCTTTTAACTTTATAGACTATTCTAATAAATACCATCTCAATAAACAATTTCCCTTCTTGTATATATTTTCTTGACACAAAATCTTAGCATTGTCTGCTTCTTTTCATTAAAATTGTATACCAGGATTATTATAAATTCCATTTTGCAGGCCCTCATATACCATATTTAAGCTTCAATTCTTAATAGTTTGTATCTTTTATTATTGTTGACACCTCAAAAAAATCAATCATTAATTCTGTATACAATCTCATTCAGTGACAAGCTATTTTTTATTCCAGATTGTTTTTAAATCAGCCTGAAGATTCCTTCCTATTATCATTCAGTTGCTAGATGAGTTTCTTTGTTTTATATCATCTACTATTAACTATCTAGTTAGTTACAAGTCACCACTGTTACAGCTGCTCAAGGCTGACCATCTTAGTTCTTCTAACTGCTGAACTGTACACTGTACAGCTGACTCTTGAAAAACACAGGGGTTAGGGGCACTGATAGCTCCCCAATCCCTGCAGAAATCCTCATATAACTTTTGACTCCCTAAAACTTTAACTACGTAAGTACTAATAACCTGTACTGTTTGATAGGCTACTTAACTGTTTGTTTAGGTATGTCATACACTCATGACATAAAAATTTTCCAATATATTTATTGAAAAAACCCATGTGTAAGTGGTCCCATGTAGTTCAAACCCATGTCTTTCAAGAGTTAACTGTAATTCAATGAAAGTTGCTAAAAGGTCTAAGAGAAAGGTAGTCAGGAAGAAAAAAAAGGAAAAAGTCGGAAGAAAAAAAAGGAAAAATTCAGAAGAAAAGGTTCATCTAATAGTAACAGAATATAATCAGGATATCTATTAAATAACAATGGCCAAATATTTTAGAGTTTACAAATATTTCATTCATTATTAAACAGAGTAATAAACAACAACCCTGCTGGAAAAGTGTCAACCTCATTTTATAAAAGGACTTGAAGTTCCTAAGTGTGAAAATTATTGTCCAAGGTCACATATCTATGGAGTAAAGGGTAGGAATTACACCCGGACTTCTCTCTTTTTACTGTATCATGATTATAATACGACTTATCCATTT